ATATCCCATATGGCAGTCAGTATGTCCCTGTATCCCATATAGCAGTCAGTATGTCCCTATATCCCCTATGGCAGTCAGTATGTCCTTACATCCCATATAGCAGTCAGTATATCCCTGTATCCCATATAGCAGTCAGTATGACCCTATATCCCCTATAGCAGTCAGTATGTCTCTATATCCCATATAGCAGTCAGTATGTCTCTATATCCCATATAGCAGTCAGTATGTCCCTATATTCCCTATAGCAGTCAGTATGTCCCTGTATCCCATATAGCAGTCAGTATGTCTCTATATCCCATATGGCAGTCAGTATGTCCCTGTATCCCATATAGCAGTCAGTATGTCCCTATATCCCCTATGGCAGTCAGTATGTCCTTACATCCCATATAGCAGTCAGTATATCCCTGTATCCCATATAGCAGTCAGTATGTCCCTATATCCCCTATAGCAGTCAGTATGTCTCTATATCCCATATAGCAGTCAGTATGTCTCTATATCCCATATAGCAGTCAGTATGTCTCTATATTCCCTATATCAGTCAGTATGTCCTTATATTCCCTATGGCAGTCAGTATGTCCCTATATTCCCTATGGCAGTCAGTATGTCCTTATATTCCCTATAGCAGTCAGTATGTCCCTGTATCCCATATTGCAGTCAGTATATTCCTGTGTCCCATAAAGCAGTCAGTATGTCCCTGTATCCCATATAGCAGTCAGTATGTCCCTGTATCCCATATAGCAGTCAGTATGTCCCTGTATCCCATATAGCAGTCAGTATGTTTCTATATCTCATATAGCAGTCAGTATGTCTCTATATCCCCTATAGCAGTCAGTATGTCCCTGTATCCCATATAGCAGTCAGTATGTTTCTATATCTCATATAACAGTCAGTATGTCTCTATATCCCCTATAGCAGTCAGTATGTCTCTATATCCCCTATGGCAGTCAGTATGTCCCTATATCCCCTATAGCAGTCAGTATGTCTCTATATCCCCTATAGCAGTCAGTATGTCTCTATATCCCCTATAGCAGTCAGTATGTCTCTATATCCCCTATGACAGTCACTTTGCCTGCGGTCTGCCTATTCCTTTTCCTTGGCATTGGCCTTTTTTACTCTGTAATCATTTTATCTCTGCCCGCACCACAGTCAGTGGTTGCCAATCCCCCCAGCCTATCTAACCCTTCACAATAAATGTACCTCTGCCCTGTACCATCTGTAAGTGCCCTGCACTTAGTTTATCTCTGCATCTCAGCTATCTCCCTCCTCCCCACTTAGTTTATCTCTCTGTCCATCCTCTTTAGCAGTCTCTCCGTCAGACTCCCTGTCTCCCTTTCAAGCTGTATCTCGCCCCCCTCTCTAATAGTCTCTTTGCCCCCTAGGTGCCTCCCCCTTCGTTAGCCCAGCCGGAGGATGTGATCCGGTGTCTCCGCCTGCGGTGTGTGATCAGGGTCTCTCCGGAGTGGGCTGTGATCGGTGGCCTCAGTCAACCCCCTCGACTCATCATGTCCGAGGTGCTGCCATTCAGTGATGCTGAACAGCGGGGGCATTACGCGGACGGAGGGGGTGACATTGCAGGGCAGATACCCCTCACCTGTCGCCTCCAGGACACTGGAAACTTCTATGGCAGCTCGGGACAAGGTGGTGGCAAGCGACCCCCCAAATTGGGGCAGATTGGTCGCAGCAAAAGAGGTAAGAGTCCCAACTACTCACACTCACTGACTTACCCTCAACTGTAATATATCTCATTAGAAAGCAGCCAGACTTGCACGTTACCTCTGAGTGGCATTCACAATTGTTTACATTTACTGCAGTGAGTAACACTCACTGAGTGATCTATACCTCCCAACCGTCTATATTTTGTTTAAATGTCACTCACATAATCTGCAGTGAGTGGCATGTAGGTCTGTTTATAAAAGCATACCTCCCAATAGTGTCCCTATTTAGGAATGTCAGTCCTTATTTCGGGCCCTCTGTCCCTCTTTTCTGTCCTAATGTCCCTCTTTTCCAGGAGCTCCGTGTTGTTGCTGTCTGAGTGTATAACAGAGCTCCACATAAATATTACTCCCAGTAATGTGTCTGCGTGTATAACAGACCTTCACAGCAATAATACTCCCAGTAATGTGTCTGAGTGTATAACAGAGCTCCACAGAAATATTACTCCCAGTAATGTGTCTGCGTGTATAACAGACCTTCACAGCAATAATACTCCCAGTAATGTGTCTGAGTGTATAACAGACCTTCACAGCAATAATACTCCCAGTAACCTGTCTGAGTGTATAACAGAGCTCCACAGCAATAACACTCCCAGTAATGTGTCTGAGTGCATGTCTGAGTGTATAACAGAGCTCCACAGTAATAATACTCCCAGTAATGTGTCTGAGTGTATAACAGAGCTCCACAGCAATAATACTCCCAGTAATGTGTCTGAGTGTATAACAGAGCTCCACAGCAATAATACTCCCAGTAATGTGTCTGAGTGTATAACAGAGCTCCACAGCAATAATACTCCCAGTAATGTGTCTGAGTGTATAACAGAGCTCCACAGCAATAATACTCCCAGTAATGTGTCTGAGTGTATAACAGAGCTCCACAGCAATAATACTCCCAGTAATGTGTCTGAGTGTATAACAGAGCTCCACAGCAATAATACTCCCAGTAATGTGTCTGAGTGTATAACAGAGCTCCACAGCAATAATACTCCCAGTAATGTGTCTGAGTGTATAACAGAGCTCCACAGCAATAATACTCCCAGTAATGTGTCTGAGTGTATAACAGAGCTCCACAGCAATAATACTCCCAGTAATGTGTCTCAGTGTATAACAGAGCTCCACAGCAATAATACTCCCAGTAATGTGTCTGAGTGTATAACAGAGCTCCACAGCAATAATACTCCCAGTAATGTGTCTGAGTGTATAACAGAGCTCCACAGCAATAATACTCCCAGTAATGTGTCTGAGTGTATAACAGAGCTCCACAGCAATAATACTCCCAGTAATGTGTCTGAGTGTATAACAGAGCTCCACAGCAATAATACTCCCAGTAATGTGTCTGAGTGTATAACAGAGCTCCACAGCAATAATACTCCCAGTAATGTGTCTGAGTGTATAACAGAGCTCCACAGCAATAATACTCCCAGTAATGTGTCTGAGTGTATAACAGAGCTCCACAGCAATAATACTCCCAGTAATGTGTCTGAGTGTATAACAGAGCTCCACAGCAATAATACTCCCAGTAATGTGTCTCAGTGTATAACAGAGCTCCGCAGCAATAATACTCCCAGTAATGTGTTTTTAAACTACAATAAACATGTGTAGAAATCAGTCTGTGTAAATAAGATACATTGATTTTGTTATAAATTACATTTTAGCTGTATAAATTGTTATTAGTAAAGAACCTAAATTTTATCAAAACAGCACAGTCCCTGGTTACACCTCCACTCACACTCACAACATCCCCATCCCTGGCTGCACCTTCACTCAGAATGTCCTGTTTTTTGTGTGAAGAAAGATATATTGTTGCTGATTGGGCCTCTTTATGAGTCAGTAACACTTTGTTTTTATATGTAGAAGGTGGCATCTTGACTGGGCATTGCTCAGGATGGTCATTTGCTTTGGGCATGAATGGGCTAATTATACCCCAACCTTTTCCAAACAGGAGATAGACCGGCCATACCATGCTTCGTCCACCGGCTAGTGTACGTGCTAGCGGCCATAGGAGGACATAAAAAGGTTGTCAATGTTGGGGCATTAAAATGGCCACAGCTGCATTATGGTGATTTTTATAGTGCCAGTACAGGGTTAGGTTCACAGCCACAAGGAAGTGGGGGACAGCAGTGTACCCCATGTAATAAGTTACGGGATAATGAGAATTAGGATGAGGGAGCTTTGGTCAAGGCAGGATTTGGGGTTAGGGGATACATGCTTTAAGATTCTGTGAAGTGTAACTCCTACTGCTCTCAGCCATGACTCACCTTCAGCAATATTAGTCGAAACTTTGCTTATCAGATCATCACAACACGCTGTTTAGTAAATAAAGGCCTCTGTCCTCCACTGCTGATGTTAAAGTGTAATTCAAAATATACTATAGTATTCTAGCCTGAAATTGAGGGGAAAATGTGGGGTGCGTGATATACCATTTATTCTAACTGTGATATTCTGCGTTTGTAGTTGTGATCGAAGATGAAAGGATCGACTCTGTTCTCACCATGTCAGAGAAGGCCCCGCCTGCTGTTTAAAAGTCTTCAAGGACTGTCTTTTTATTAGATGTACACAAAGAAAAAAAACCCATTAAAAAACCTAACAACAAAGAAAGAGGGATTGTGTATGTGAAAAAAAATAACGAGTACAGCTAGTAAGAATATCAAGCTGTGATTCGCACTTCTGAAATCAATCTCTGGAGGTGAAGAAAACAGAACAGAAGTGTGAGAAAAGAGACTAGGAGGATATAAATGCAAAAAAACATAGAAAAATGTATACTTAGCGGAGAAATAAAAAAAAAAAAAAGACCGAGTATTTTGGGATGCAGAACGTGTTTTGCACTGGACATGATTCTGGTGGGTCATTTTGTTCATTTGCAGTGGTAATTTTTGCTGCTTCGTTATGGTTCGGGGGTTCGGTTGATGGTACGGGTTAAAATCTGAAGCGTCGTCGAAATGATGAGCCAAGAAAAAATGAACGCTTTGGATATTTGCTGGCTCTCGTTTCTCTCTGGGCGTAAATCATCTAATGGGATTCTGCACGTTTCGTGCGCAGTGAAAAAATTAAAAGGTGATAAAAAAAATTCCTCTTTTCTCTGCACTGTTCGACAAAATGAGGAGGCGAGCAAGCAAAAAACTATGTCTCCTGTACGGAGAATGTGCACACTAAATGTCTCCCGATGTCTCCAGTACATGGAAAGCAGACCTGCAGACATGTTCCAAACACTGATTATTCAGAAACAAAATCCCACTTGGCTGGTTTATGCCCGCAGCCGCCATGGAGAACCTTTAGTTCTCAAAAGTGTATTCTACTGATAGTTGGTATTTAGTCATGCTGCAAAACATAGTAGTGCAAAGTATCTCACCTGGTGACGTGTGTTAGAAGGATATATATACATATAGGGCTCTGTAATGTGAATTGATGTGGTTATAGTTGGAGTCCGTTCTTGGTGGGCTGGAACCAAACATTGGTGAAACACACGTATCGCAGTTCTTCATTAATGGCTAGATCTCCTGCACTGATACACCATGCTTTAGACTCTAAGCTGCCATTTAGATTTTAGCTGTACTGTGAATTAATCATTCTTCTTGAGCTATACACATACCAAACCCCAGTACAGATATGCCAGGCCTTAGATAGACCATACATGGCCATAATTACAATTAACTATTAATGATGATGTCACGGCGTAGTAGGTTCTGTGTATATTTTAGACATGGGCCTCTACATTAGGTACTTTAGGGGATCAGTACAGTCACGAACGTCAGATGGACTACCCTGAATTCAGAATTGCCCCTAGGGATTATCAGAGCTTTTATATATCTTCCAACTTGTTGGTGTAAATGTAGATCTTACTAAAAAATTTTGTTCATACAAACATCAGGTGGATTTCTCAGTACTCCAGTGCTCATAGTGCGTATTGTGGGATTCCCAGTACATGGTTGCCTGAGCATTATGACAGTTGCAGTCCTCCTGGCAATTATTCCATTGGAAGGTGTTACGAAGCCTCACTATGTTTTGCAGCATTACAGTAAGTAGGGATTTGATGTACATACACTACTGTTCAAATGTCTTCTAGCACTCACTGTCGCACTTCCCACGGGCAGTATGAGAATCGTGAAGTGAAGCTGACAATTTAATGTGTCTGAGACCCTGGCAGAGAGCAGAGGGTTCAGGTTTACAGCCATTCCCTGTCACTCTGTACTCTCTATATTGTTTACATAATTTAATCTTGCAAAAAAGAAAATATATATATAGATATATATATAACTGTGCACCTTTGCATGCAAAAATCATTTTGACATGTAACATTCTTGGACAAATAGAATTATTTTTAGTCGTGTAAGAGTGTAAAAGGACAAAACAAATATATGTTGTTTTCTAAAGGAATTTAACACAAAAAGGAGAGAGAATTATGATTTGTATTTTTTTAACAAAGAATTGTATTTCTGATTATTTTGTTTCGTTTACCGTGGCAGGGAGCTGTGTTTTAGACGTACTATAATAATAATATGCTATGATTGCGCATTCTGTGAGTTACAGAACCAGATCCCTGACAAAACGCCCCGTATTGTAAGAAGACGCGCTTTCTGGCGCTGAAAGGGTTCATTTTTGCTCATTTCTATTAATCCTTTCCGAGCCGGATAGACAGTACAGTCTTTTTAGATCAGTAGTGAAACCCGACTGCTATATTTTTGTCACGTCCTTAGACCTGTATTGTATTAATTCAGATTATTTTTGTTTAAAACACATTGGGCAGATTTTTGAATGAATATTTTTGTCTGTTTAAATGTGGATTAAGGGACATTCTGTCTGTTCCCAGTGAATATGGTGTGGCCTATTCACTAAGGGCTGGATTCTCGTGGTAGAGTCAGGGTTTACTGAATAGCAATTTCCCCAAAATCTTCAATGGAAGAAATGCTATTCAGCAAAGCAAGTAAACTATGAGAATCCAGATATAAATTGTGGAGAAATAATGTGGGAATCACAAATGTTAGGAATATCCCCCAGATCTCCTGTTTATGCAGACCAGTTACTTGGCCTACAATTTACACTTTGTCAATTCTCCCTAAATTCCCAGTGCAGTGACTACCCCCAGTGTGTAAAAATGGAAAGCCCACTACAGATCTGTACATTAGGACCGAGGTGATCATTGCATGAATCAAAGTTATGGCACAGACGAGGTGGAGCGAGTATTGAGTCTTGATGTGTTAGATTTCTAGACTTATGTCGCAGCACAGGGCACGGACCCTCTGTTTATTCACTAAGCTGTGACCAAGGAATCTCTGTGCAAACTCTAAGATAAAACAGCAAATTGGAAAAAATATCCAACATAAATTTTGCAAGTTGGTTCTCAATTCGTGATTACTCACTAGCGAATAAACTCACTAGTTTTATATTGTCACCCAGGTGTAGCCCACAGACCGACCCTTCAAAATATGTCAAACTACAACTCACAGTAAGCTGTGCCAACTGAAGACAAGCAACACGTCACCGTGGTAGTAGCTCATCACCAGCTGGGCTGGAATCTTCCACCTAATTTGTAATGTCCCTTTAAGACATTGTATGTGAATGTCACATACTGCCCGGTGGTCCCTTCTGTAAAATAACTCCAGCTGGAAGGACAAAAATATAGCATGGATGGTGTTCACTATTGTTTCTGTATATAGTGCCAAATTTGTCATGTGTCAGGGACGGTTCCTATTGTTTTCCATGTGATTTGCTTGCGCAGCGATTCCGCTAGTTCTAGCTCAGTTCAACTAACTCACACAAAAGGCTCATGTTTCCTTAACGCTTGACCTCACTGCAATGTGGCGCTTGTGCGGCTCATTCTTTCCCAGAATGCGCTGCAATGTGGCGCTTGTGCGGCTCATTCTTTCCCAGAATGCGCTGCACTGTGGTGCTTGTGCGGCTCATTCTTTCCCAGAATGCCCTGCACTGTGGCGCTTGTGCGGCTCATTCTTTCCCAGAATGCCCTGCACTGTGGCGCTTGTGCGGCTCATTCTTTCCCAGAATGCCCTGCACTGTGGCACTTGTGCGGCTCATTCTTTCCCAGAATGCACTGCACTGTGGCACTTGTGCGGCTCATTCTTTCCCAGAATGCACTGCAGTGAGGGGTGCGTGGATCACTCAGGCTGGAGAAAGGGATCATTTATTTCACTTGATTTAGCAGGATCTCGTAACTCCATTAATTTCATACTAATAATTATTGTAAATATTTTGTTCTTGAGTAAAAAAAATAAATAATGCATTTCTGTTGATATTTAAATTCTGCAGATATACTGGGCTTTATTGACTAAACTGGCAAATTGGCACAGAAATCGCTCATTTTTGCTTAAAATCGGAAATCTCCTTGTCAATTCCCAACAATTCCCAGTTTAGTGGCCAATGGCCCTCTGTACTCTACAACACCCATCACCTACAGACAACCCTGGGTCATTGGTGATTCGGGAGTTATAGTGCTTTATTTACTAAACAGTGAAATGGTGAGACTGACCAATCAGTATACAAAATGTAGGTCAAAGTAGACTATTTGTGTTAAAAAAGAAATTAAATAAAGAATTGTTCACTGCTTAGTGGGTTGTCCAAACAAGCTAATTTGGCCTATATTTAGCCCATCACGTGGCGGTTAATTTCACTGTTTAGTAGATAAACTGTCAGGTTAGATTAACTGTTAACAGAACTGCTCTTTCTAGGTCTGGCTGGCTTTTTATCCAGATTGGCTGGACAGGATAATCCAATTCTTTACTCCCCCCCCCTCCCCTCCCCACACACACATTGTCTGTAATAAACAGACTTATAGCAATATGATTTTAAATAGTATTTATAGTAAAAAAGAAAAATCTTCTCTTCACAGTAGGATCTATAACTTCAAAGAAATATCTGACTTTGTCTGCACTTTAAATTTAGCTTGGTTCTTTTTTCCTAAAGGTCTAGACTTTTTTTCTTGGTTTTGATTCTGTTGTAGGAAGACGAGAGCAAAAAGAGAGCTGTATTAACTTGGCTGCCATGCTGGATTCATTAGGTGTTAATTTCTATATTTTTTTATTATAATAGCACTGAATTTGTTGCAATACCCAAATCCTGCTAATGTGTAGTCTCTGCATGGCTCAAGATTTTTGCAAAAGTCCTGCTGGTCTGGTTTATACTGTACTTTGGGATAGGTTTAAAGCTATTTAGCCCAAAAAGGTCCTTGCATTTGAATGCATTGTGGCCTTTTTGGATGTGTGGGTGATATCCATCTGCAAGCCCTACTCGTTGTTATTAAAAGGTGGGATGTACTTATTTATTACGTAACAATATTTTATAACGTCATCTGTAAAAGGACTCGGTGTGAGACATGTTAAAATGGGCGGGAGAAAGATTTGGGAAATCAGAATGCCCTGTGCCAGGTTGGCGCACAGTTTGGTGATCAGATATGGCATGTTTTCCATGTCAAATTATTTAAAAAAAAAAAGTGTTAATGAAATCTGAATGTGTTTGTGATATACAATTTTTAATGTATATACATAAATGGATGCTGATTTTAATCAACTCATGGTATTCCATTTTATTGATTTAAATGCAGACTTGTATTATAATTGTTTTTTAAATAGTGCAAACATACTCTGTAGCGCTGTACATTGGGACATGATACATCCATTTCAAACCTTTTCCCAAGCATTCTCCCATGTATCGGAATAGCCTTCGCTGTAATGTCTTGTATCTGCAAACACTTCTCATTTTCCGATATATCGTACAAGGTAGCGTTAAGATCATTTGTAACATCTGAACAGGATTGTTAGAGATCTCGGTTTGATTCTTGTCTATATAATATTTTATAAAAATAAATAAATACTGAGGTTCATGATGATTTGCTTGTAATAAAAGCAGCCCCAATTATTGGCCATTTACCACATGTCAGGACGTTGTATCTGCAGATATTAAGAAAACAGTTGGCGACATGTGTAACCTATTTTATAAACAAGGATATCCCATTGGTTACTCCAGATCCATGTTCTTTGGTTTACAGCGTTGCCTCTAAGCACTTTTATTTGAATGACCCGACCATTAAAGAGTTAAAAAAGGAATCTTCATAAAATCAACACATTTTCCTTTCTTCCCATAGTACAAAACAAACTCCCTGTGAAGATGTTGTATAGCGTTTGGCTGTAGTAAAGATTCCATTCTTAAATTTGTAGCGCTGGATCCAATAGCGATCTTAGAGGGAATGCTGCTTCCAGTCACTTATTGTATCCCTGTTTTCTGTCGTTATTCCATTGTCATGTCTGTTCTGTTGGCTGTTTATCACAGACCGGTCTGCCTTTCTGTCCTAAAGATCAGATGGATTTTCTTCTTATGGCTGATGAACCATTCCATAATTAAGCCACGCCAACGCCCGAGGCAGGATAATGAATATTGGCCGTGCTCAGATTGGTTACAGCACTCTCTATGAATGCGTTGATAGTTCCAAAGATTGCAGAATGCTGCTTGCTGGCCAGGAGATTTGCAGCAGTGTGGCGTATAAACATACCAAAATCACTGCAGCAAATTCCAGGCAAGCTAAATGCTAGCAAGTTTTCAGGATTTGTATGATAAACTAAATTCCTCGTACACATGGAAAATGATTATATTTTGCAAAAATGTCAAATAAATACTGATCTGGTAATGGTGACTTGGCAGCAGTAACGGTTACAGCAGTGCATAACTAGGAGCCAATTCTATTGCAATGGGTAACACAATCTTTACATTCTGTGGTCCCTGCTGATACCCCAGTAATGGGATCCTTTCAGCTAGCTGCACTCACAGTATAACCCTCAGCCAATATCCAGCTGGCTGTGAGTGATGTGATTTTGCAGAAGTTCACATTCCTGACCAATGAGTTGACTTATAGCAGACGTGCGTGAACTTTGTTTCGTGATATTTTGTGAACATCTCACATGATTGTTATCTAATAAGGCTGGCTGAGAGTCATGTGAAATGTAGGAAACAATTATTTGCAGTGTGAAGGCAATGCCCTAGATCTGAGATCTGCAGTAAGCGTGCAGAAAGCAGTATCTGTTAAACCCGGGCACGGCAGGATAGTTCGCTTCGGCTGAGTCAATTTTACCAAAACTGAAATTTTGTTGAGAATGTCTCAGCTGAATATCGTGCATGGGACATTATTCAGGGAAACTATCGGACAAACCAAAAAGAGCGACAAAATGGAGCGATCTGGGTATTGCAAAATATATAATATTATATTCTGTATATATATTACAGTACACTAATAGGAGCATTTTAACACCAATTGGTTCACAAATCTAGTGAGAAAAAGTAACAGAGAGATAAAAGAGGAAAAAAATCTGTTTATATGTTATGTATATTTATATTATGAATCAGTTTATAAACATACATTTATTTTTTCTCCTCCTTTTTTCCCTCTTTATTGGTCACTTCTAACATGATCTGTGAATAAAATATGTATTTAGTGTCCGTCAGCTTAACCATTAATCATCCCTTTTTCCCATTAATTTTTTTTTTTTGGTGCCGTGGGCTGAAGTCCGAATCAAAACAAACTCGCTTGGCCATTGCGCTAGTCGTTTGCTCGGTTACACATCCATATGGCGCTTCGAAGATATAGAATCAGTCAAACAGCTGATCGGACCAAATTTGGACAAATCACAGTTCAGTCGGATCTGAATATACAAGTCCAGTACCTATACACTATGTATCGTTACCGCCGGCTGTATCCATACACTATGTATCGTTACCGCCGGCTGTATCTATACACTGTGTGTCGTTACCACCGGCTGTATCTATACACTATGTATCGTTACCACTGGCTGTATCTATACACTATTTATCGTTACCGCCGGCTGTATCCATACACTGTGTGTCGTTACCGCCGGCTGTATCTATACACTGTGTGTCGTTACCGCCGGCTGTATCTATACACTGTGTGTCGTTACCGCCGGCTGTATCTATACACTATTTATCGTTACCGCCGGCTGTATCTATACACTATTTATCGTTACCGCCGGCTGTATCCATACACTGTGTGTCGTTACCGCCGGCTGTATCTATACACTGTGTGTCGTTACCGCCGGCTGTATCTATACACTATGTATCGTTACCGCCGGCTGTATCTATACACTATGTATCGTTACCGCCGGCTGTATCTATACACTGTGTGTCGTTACCACCGGCTGTATCTATACACTATGTATCGTTACCGCCGGCTGTATCTATACACTGTGTGTCGTTACCGCTGGCTGTATCTATACACTGTGTATCGTTACCGCCGGCTGTATCTATACACTGTGTATCGTTACCGCCGGCTGTATCTATACACTATGTATCGTTACCGCCGGCTGTATCTATACACTGTGTGTCGTTACCACCGGCTGTATCTATACACTATGTATCGTTACCGCCGGCTGTATCTATACACTGTGTGTCGTTACCGCTGGCTGTATCTATACACTGTGTATCGTTACCGCTGGCTGTATCTATACACTGTGTATCGTTACCACCGGCTGTATCTATACACTATGTATCGTTACCGCCGGCTGTATCCATACACTATGTATCGTTACCGCTGGCTGTATCTATACACTGTGTATCGTTACCGCCGGCTGTATCTATACACTGTGTATCGTTACCGCCAGCTGTATCTATACACTATGTATCGTTACCGCTGGCTGTATCTATACACTGTGTATCGTTACCGCCGGCTGTATCTATACACTGTGTGTTGTTACCGCCGGCTGTATCTATACACTGTGTGTTGTTACCGCCGGCTGTATCCATACACTGTGTGTCGTTACCGCCGGCTGTATCCATACACTGTGTGTCGTTACCGCCGGCTGTATCTATACACTATGTATCGTTACTGCTTGCTGTATATTGTTACTGCTTGCTGTATATTTTTAATAATAATATAATATGAGCAGGTTTCCCAACCATACATTCACGTGTCCATCCTCTCGCTCCATATCTTCTACCATAAGGCAGACAATCACAACAATCCTGAGGCCAGTTATTCATTGAACGTATTAATACTCCATATGTTTCTTTTCCCATCTCCTTGTTTATCCTTTGTCCCATGTGTGGTTTTCGATATTTCGGAAAGTGTATTTAATATTTTAACATTTCGGGGTGCTCATGGCACGCTTGTAAGCTGACCCCATCGTGAATTCAGCAACGTAAAAAGGGCCAGCTCAAACTACAGATCAGAGTGCTCCCGAGACATTGTGTGCGATATTTAAAACTCCAAATGCTGTGTTGGGTGGGAGGGCAATATATAATATATTTACACCTTTGCTTCCAGGTATTTCATATAACCATTAGCCATTCAACAAGTGCTCTTAAGAGCAAGTGCTACAGAAAAATGCTTCCCCTGAGCCTACTGACAAACAGCAGAGCAATTACAAATATCTGTGGCCGAATGCTGGCAAAGCATCGTGGGCGTTGTAGTTTTTGCAGTGGGTTTTGCCGACCCTTGCCATTACCCTTTCAGGAAATATTTGTGAATGCTAAAAATAAACCCTGAAAAATGGTTCCTTAAAGGAAAACGTCTGATTTAGTTATGGTAATATGGGGGATTTGGAAGAAAGTGAAGGGTTCTTTTACCTGACGTTGCAACTGGAAATGATGGCGGTTTCGTACTATGTTATGTGAAGGATAAGCACTTTAGTTTGAAATATTCCTGATCTTATAGACATTGGTGCTACCTTTTGCTTCTTCCAACAAAAAATGGACCTTTGCGTATACGCAGTAGATATGGCGCATGTGGGCCGGGTCACTTCCAAACAGGACTTGGATTAATGTCACGTTGTATCCAGTCTATCTATCCTTCCTTATTTTCCTTTCTTAATGTTTTTGTGACAGAGTACCCTCCATCCACTTCCCTCTGTCACTAAAGGGGTTAAAATGTGTAACTGTATTGGGGGAGGGACAGGGGGAAGCACTTGAAATAATAATCAGATTTCTGTTTTTATTGCAATAATAAATTGTTGATACTGCTAAAGGTCTGAGTTTGTATTTATTGAATTTGGTTCCTACTCCAGTCTTTAAAAATTCAGCGAAAATCTTAAATCCACACAATTCCCTTGCGGTGGTTAGAAAGCAAAACCCGCTTGCGGGCACAGATTGCACCCAGCAGCACACATGTAACTTGTAACGACTTGGTACCATTACCTGCAGGTTCCTGGTTTGATCTCACAGCGCCAATAATGATGTCATAATGAGGTCATCAGTTTATACATACCTGGATTGAACATTGTTACCTCTACATTTGTTCAGCCACCTGAAAGACGCTATTTATGAAATGTTGTTTATATAAGTCACAGCACCTTCTGATCCCTGTCTTCTGATTACAGCCATCCCCCTCCTGGTAGGCAGTAATGGATTGAAGATCTTTGAACTCTGTATTCTCTTTCAAAGATGCTTATTTTGTAACAAATTGCAACATTCCCAGATTCTGTCGGATTTATTTTTGAGCAAACTATGATGTTATTATGAGATACGAAATCCATAGTAATCTTATCTAAACCCTCTATACGATTTAGGGCTATATTAAAGGGACACTATAGTCACCTGAACAACTTCAGCTTAATGAGGTTGTTCAGGTGAGAACTATAGCTCCCTGCAGCCTCTCTCATGTAAACACTGTATTTTCAGAGAAAATACAGTGTTTACATTGAAAGCTAGGAACACCTCCAGTTGCAGTCACTCAGAGTTAACCAGAGGGACTTTGGAGTTGATGGAGGCACTCAGATCTTCTGACACTCAGATCTGCTGTCAGCAAAGCACAGGGCAGCACAGTGCACAGCATCCTGTGATTCAGTATCTCCTCCCTCTGCATGCAGACACTGAACTTTCCTCATAGAGATTCATTGATTCAATTCATCTCTATGAGGAGATGCTGATTGGCCAGGGCTGTGTTTGAATCATGCTGGCTCTGCCCCTGATCTGCCTCCTTGTCAGTTTCAGCCAATCCTATGGGGAAGCACTGTGATTGGATCAGGCTACCACATGTCAGCAGACTGCTTGTTTCTCTGAGTCTAACAGCATGCAGATTTACAGCTTCTGGTGTAAAGATGTTTGCTATATTTATGGAGGCATGAGGAGCCCAGGGGGGCTAGATGGTGGTTTTAACACTATAGAGTCAGGAATACATGTTTGTGTTCCTGACCATATAGTGTTCCTTTAAAGGTTTTTTTTTCTAAAAAAATAAATAAAAGTTTAATATAACATTTATCAAACACGTACTAGATTATTATATATTCATAACAAAACGGCATCAAGCTAGTTTCTTCAGTTGTGAATTTAATCAGAGCCAAATTACCCACTAGGCGGCCACCTAGGGTCCAGGTCCAAACAGAGGCCCAGTGACCCCTACACACAATACTCATAGAAACAGAACCTAGGGCTCTAGGAGGGGGCCCCAATCTGACATCCTGTCTAGGGCTCTGGGCAATTTTAATTTGGCTCTGAATGTAAAACATTTATCACACACTGTGAATAAGGTATCGGAGTGTCTGACACATAAAGTGTCACTGTCATTGTAAGAGCACCATCACCTGGAACGTGTTTATGGTTTGTAGATATTCTGACCATCTCTATAAATGGGTCAACAATCCAGCTAATTGTTGTTTTCTTTGGGCATGACATCCACTAAATACCATCAGAGGGTTCAATAACAATGTCCTACTCCCTGCGCACACTATATATCTCAGATTCTGATTGGCTGCTCACATCACATGATCTCCACAGCCGTGTGTGTTTTTGATCAATATTAATCACTTAGTGTTTGAAAATCGTGATGTGATTCCAAGATGGCGGCCCCCCCTCCGTAAGGGTTAATTCCAGCTGAACCAAGTATAGCTTGTTTCCGTGACAATAATATTAATATGTCGGGAAACTTCTAAACTCATTAATGGATAGGACATTTGAGCACATGAATAACTTTAATTTGTACGAGCAATGAAATAATATGAGAGCACAGTCTGCAAACATTAAATAATGAAACACTCACATAGTCCGGATAAAGACAATAAAAATCAAACATCCTATTATTTGCAGATTGAATTGTTAGTGTGCAGAGTGTTCGTTTACAGTGCGCACCGTGTCCTGTACAGCCAGGGTTACCGGATCCACCGTGTTTACATATGCGTATTGATGGGCAGCACATGGAAAGGGTCACCCTGCAGTATGTAGAATTGTAAAAGATTAAATAATGAGGAAATGATGAATCCCAAGGAATATATATTGTACACACTGCAGGGCAGATCTTTTCATGTGTTTTCATAAATCTGACAACATTATATGTGTGCATGCCAACATGATGGATATAGTACAGCGCTAAGGAATCTGATGGCGCTATATAAATAATAAAATAATAATAATAATAGTCACCCTATGTATAGCCATATTGTCTATATCTATCCATAAATCTGTTTGCCTATCCATCCAACTGTCTGTGTCTGTCTGTCAGTCTGTGTATCCTTCTATCCGTCTGTGTATCCTTCTATCCATCTGTGTATCCTTCTATCTGTCTGTGTATCATTCTATGTATCCATCTGTATCATTCTATGTATCCGTCTGTGTATACTTCTATCAGTCTGTGTGTACTTCTATCTGTCTTTGTATCCTTCTATGTATCCATCTGTGTATTCTTCTATCGGTCTGTGTATCCTTCTATGTATCCGTCTGTATATCATTCTGTCTGTGTATCATTCTGTCTGTCTGTGTATCCTTCTATGTATCAGTATGTGTATCCTTCTATCTGTATGTGTATCATTCTATCTGTCTGTGTATCCTTCTATGTATCTGTCTGTTTCTCCTTCTATCTGTCTTTGTATCCTTCTATGTATCCATCTGTGTATCCTTCTATCAGTCTGTGTATCCTTCTATGTATCCGTCTGTATATCATTCTGTCTGTGTATCATTCTGTCTGTCTGTGTATCCTTCTATGTATCAGTATGTGTATCCTTCTATCTGTATGTGTATCATTCTATCTGTCTGTGTATCCTTCTATGTATCCATCTGTTTCTCCTTCTATCAGTCTGTGTATCCTTCTATCAGTATGTGTATCCTTCTATGTATCCATCTGTGTATCCTTCTATCAGTCTGTGTATCCTTCTATGTATCCGTCTGTATATCATTCTGCCTGTGTATCATTCTATCTGTCTGTGTATCCTTCTATGTATCAGTATGTGTATCATTCTATCTGTCTGTGTATCATTCTATGTATCCATCTGTATCATTCTATGTATCCGTCTGTGTATACTTCTATCAGTCTGTGTGTACTTCTATCTGTCTTTGTATCCTTCTATGTATCCATCTGTGTATTCTTCTATCGGTCTGTGTATCCTTCTATGTATCCGTCTGTATATCATTCTGTCTGTGTATCATTCTGTCTGTCTGTGTATCCTTCTATGTATCAGTATGTGTATCCTTCTATCTGTATGTGTATCATTCTATCTGTCTGTGTATCCTTCTATGTATCTGTCTGTTTCTCCTTCTATCTGTCTTTGTATCCTTCTATGTATCCATCTGTGTATCCTTCTATCAGTCTGTGTATCCTTCTATGTATCCGTCTGTATATCATTCTGTCTGTGTATCATTCTGTCTGTCTGTGTATCCTTCTATGTATCAGTATGTGTATCCTTCTATCTGTATGTGTATCATTCTATCTGTCTGTGTATCCTTCTATGTATCCATCTGTTTCTCCTTCTATCAGTATGTGTATCCTTCTATCAGTCTGTGTATCCTTCTATGTATCCGTCTGTATATCATTCTGCCTGTGTATCATTCTGTCTGTCTGTGTATCCTTCTATGTATCAGTATGTGTATCCTTCTATCAGTATGTGTATCGTTCTATCTGTCTGTGTATCCTTCTATGTATCCGTCTGTTTCTCCTTCTATCCGTCTGTGAATC